ATTTGCTTCGGTTGAAAGCCATTCGTGATCAGCTTGTGTCTGCAGGGGAGAGGATTACTGATAATGATGTTGTTGTTATTACTGCTTTATCTGGATTACCATCGGAGTTTGATATTGTCAAGGCTGTAGTTTTAGCAAGGGAGACTTCTATTCCACTGAAAGATTTCAGGGCGCAGTTGATTGGTGTTGAATCTGCTATGGAAGCAAGAGTCACTACTCTGGCCAGTGGCATGGCTGCAATGTATGTTCAAGGAGATAGAGTTACAGGTGGTCATCAGAATTCCGGGTATTCACAAGGAGAGAGTTCAAATGCTGGTTCACAAACTGGTGATACTCAAGGCTATCAAGGGAACAACAGGTTTCAAAAACAGAAATGGGTTTAATAAATTCTCAGGGGTCTAATACTTCTCAGAACTATAACAGAAGTGGTTATGGGTCTTTCAATAATTCAAGGCCTTATTACAATGGGAATAGACAGAGATGGGGAAATAACTATAATAATTCTCTTACTGGGAATAGGTCTTCTTGGAGTGGTAATACTACCTTCAAAACAGGTCCGATAGTTGAATGTCAGATTTGTTTCTCGCAGAGGTCATACTGCTGCAACTTGTTCGAATAGGAGTGATGGTTATCAGGTTCTAATCTGCCAAATTTGTGGAAAGAAAGGTCATCATGCTCTGGATTGTAGACATAGGAATAACTATTCCTATCAGGGGCACCTCCACCTCCTTCTCTTACTGCATTTTCTGCTCAAGCTCCATCTCACATGATTGCTGCAGAATATGGTCAGAATGTTCAACATTTCTCTGCAGCTGATACATGGGTGTTGGACACTGGTGCTTCACACCATATGACATCTAATCTTGGGAATCTCAATCAACCTGTGCAGTATAATGGTGATGAGAAAATCACTATTGGTAATGGGGAAGGTTTGGCTGTTACTCATATTGGTTCTACAACCCTTTCAACTCCACAACATTTACTGTTTCTCAAGAATGTCTTACATGTTCCAACCATTACTGTTAATCTCTTATCTGTTAAGAAATTATGTGAAGATAATCATTGCTGGTTTATATGTGATGAGAGTGTCTTTTTTATACAGGATAAGGCAACATGAATGATGTTGTACCACGGCAAGAGTAGGGGAGAGCTATATGAGATCCCTGTGACTGTGTTTTCAAGAAGATTGGTTGCTGGTCAAAATAAAGCTGTTGCATTACTTGGGAAAGCTGTAAAGACTTCTGTTTGGCATAAGAGGCTTGGGCATCCTTCTGCCGAAGTGCTTGATGTTATGCTTCGAAATGTTGGACAGCCTGTTAGTGTAGATTCATCACCTTCTGTTTGTTCTTCATGTCTTTCTGGAAAAATGTGTAGACAACCCTTTCCTGTCAAAGAAACTAGGGCTAGTTCTATGTTTGAAAAAGTACATTCTGATATTTGGGGGCCTGCTCCAGTTAAGTCTCTAGAAGGGTTTAGATACTATGTAAGTTTTGTGGATGAGTTCTCAAGATTTGTATGGATCTTCCCTATTATCAATAAATCTGAGGTTTTCCAAGTCTTTGTTAATTTTTTTGCATTTGTTACAACTCAGTTCAATTCTATAATTAAGTGCTTACAGACAGATGGTGGTTCTGAATATATGAGTAACAGATTTCAGTCTTTTTTGGCACTCAAAGGAACTGCACATTCCATATCATGTCCTTATACACCTCAGCAGAATGGTCTTGCTGAGAGGAAACATAGGCACATCGTAGAGACTGCTATCACACTTTTAACCGAGGCTGAAGTTCCATTACAGTTCTGGAATTATGCTTGTACTCATGCTGCATTTCTGATCAACAGAATGCCGTGTAAGGTTTTGGGGATGAAGTCTCCATACCAGCTCCTGTTTAAACAAGACCCTGTGTTGCATACATTGAAGATATTTGGATCTGCAGTTTATCCATTCTTAAGGCAGTATACTAAACATAAATTGCAACCTAGGTCGAAGCAATGCGTTTTTCTTGGTTTTGTGGCTGGATATAAAGGTGTAGTCTGTTATGATTTGAGTAGTACTAAACTAGTATTGTCAAGACATGTGGTGCATGATGAGACTACATTTCCATTTAAATCAAGACTGCAGTTGTCTTCTGGGAAGTTCAATAAGGTCCAGAGTACAACAATGTTTCCAATCATGGTTCAAATACCATGTTTTGCTCCTGATCCCATATCCTCCCTAACCCTTGCCGGGTCATCTGCCAATCCAGATATTATGGAAGATCAACCAATGGATAGCTTACAGGTTCCAAGCTCATCAAGTCAAGTTTCTCAGGATCTCAATGCTCATACTCATAGCTCTCCTACTCTCTCAACATCACCTCCAAGTACAATATCATTGTTGCCTGTCCATAGTCCTTCTCAGTTAGAGGTAATCCTACCAATCTCTTCTCCTGTGGTTGAAACTAATGAAGAATCAGCTCACAATATGGTCACCAGGTTGAAGTCAGGTGCCATTTCCCGAAGATCTTACACAGGTTATATTGGTTCATTTCCAGAATTACAAACTCTCCAGATGGATAATGAGTGTGACTTTACTGGGGGGTTTTCATTTATTGCTGCAATACAGGATTTGGAGGAACCCTCAACATTCCGAAAAGCTTCTACATGTCCACATTGGCAAAGTGCAATGCAAGAAGAGTTTAATGCACTCAAAGCTCAAGGAACTTGGCAATTGGTTCCGTCTCCACCAAATAGAACCATTATTGGCAGTAAGTGGGTATATAAGGTTAAGAAGAATCCTGATGGCAGTGTATCGAGGTATAAAGCCAGACTCGTGGCTCAAGGTTTTTCCCAAGAACCAGGCATTGACTACTCAGAAACTTTTAGTCCCGTAGTCCGACACACTACTGTAAGACTCATTTTTGTCCTTAGCAGCTATCAATAAATGGGAATTGAGGCAGTTAGATATCAAAAATGCATTTCTGCATGGTGACTTGCAAGAAGAGGTGTATATGAAACAGCCTCAAGGGTTTGTTGATCAAACTAAACCCATTATGTCTGTAAGTTGATTAAATCGTTGTATGGGTTGAAGCAAGCCCCTCAGGCATGGAATTCAAAGTTCACGACCTATTTACCAGCTTTGGGATTTGTACCATCTTCATCGGATACAAGTTTATTTGTGAAGAATGATGACAAGGATGTGGTGATTCTTTTACTATATGTAGATGACATCATTTTGACAGGATCCAATCCTAGCAAAGTTCAGCAAGTTATTGATGATTTGGCAGGTGTTTTTGACTTAAAGGATATGGGCAGACTTACTTACTTCCTGGGACTTCAGATTCACTACAAGGAGAATGGAGACATATTTGTCAATCAATCAAAGTATGTTAAAGATCTTATTCATAAAGCTGGAATTGAATCTTGTAAACCTGCCAATACACCATGCAAACTTCACAATCAAATGCTCTTGCATGAGGGAATACCATTGCAGGACTCTACATTGTACAGAAGTTTGGTTGGTTCCCTGCAATATCTCACATTTACACGTCCTGATATAGCGTATGCTGTGAATTCAGTGTGTCAATTTATGACTGCTCCGACAGATTTACATCTCATTTCTGTCAAACGAATTATTCGATATCTTCAAGGCACTGCAGAGTGTGGCATTACATATGCAGCTGATACTGACATACATTTGACAGCATTCTCTGATGCTGATTGGGCTGCTGATTTGAACACAAGACGATCTGTGACTGGTTATGTGGTTTATCTTGGTGGGAATCCAATCTCGTGGCAATCAAAGAAGCAATCCTCCGTCTCTCGAAGTTCTACCGAGGCGGAGTACAAGGCACTTGCTCATACTGCAGCAGATGTGGCTTGGATTCGGCTCATTTTGAAAGATTTGGGCGTTGCATTACCTTTTCAACCAACTATATTCTGTGATAATAAATCTGCAATAGCACTCAGTGCTAATCCAGTGTATCATTCGAGAATCAAACACCTTGATACGGATTATCATTTTGTCCGTGAAAGGGTGCATCATGGTGATTTGTTGGTTGAATATCTACCCACTGATGAACAGACCGCTGATATTCTTACTAAAGGATTACATAGTCCGCCGTTCACTCGTCATTGTTTCAATCTCAAACTTGGTTTCCCTAGTTGAGATTGAGGGGGGATGTTGACTAATATTGACTCAAGTGAATGCCACATAATCTGCCATGTCATCAATATTTCTGTTAAAAGTTAGTTAGGAGGGTTATGTGTAGCTTACACAGTAAGCAAGGTAGTTAGACTACTAGAGGGATATAAAAGGCCGATTGCAGTCTAATGTTTGTAAGAAATAACCATTCTATCAATACAAAACTTTTCATATTCTTTCTAGTTTTATTTCCAGGTCTTCTTCTACATTCTCTATATTCCTTCTTTCTTCTTTCTTCTGTGGTTCTGATCTTCTTTGTTAAGAAATAATATAGTTTAACACCTATCAAACAAGTTGAAAAAATATAAAAGTTGACAATTAATTTCGAAGCATAAAAGTTGTAGTGAGATTTTATTGACAAAAGTGTCAAAAAATCGTTTTGCACGTCTAGTTTAATTTTTATATTTAAAAAATAATAATGAAATGGACTTAAAAACTTTGAGATTTAACAATAATAACATAATAAAGGGTAAAGTGAACAGTATCAAGATTAACTTTTTAGTGTAAAAATATGATTTTTCGTTAAAATGAACAATACCAGAAGCTTTTCGTTAAAGTTTCTTAAAAAAATTACTTGTTGGGCCAAGCGTTTTCAAGACTCGTAGTCCAATCAGGTCCTCTTTATTGGGCCTCCGATTCCCCTGTTATTTGATGGAAAAGCGTCTCCAGATTCCACCCAAATTTATATCTCAAGCACCTTACAGTTGGTGGTTGGTGATTTTACCGTTACAAATCCCGCCCACCATAACCGCTCAGCCACCCCCAAATTCACAACCTAATTTCCTCCTCTCTTATTTCCATTCAGTATTTAATCTCCCTGGTTCTCATTTCCTGCACTAATCTTTAATCTTAATCGTATAATTAGGTGTTAATCATAGTTGCTTTGATTAATTCTTTCAGTTTATCTCCTCTCGTTCCAATGATGCATGCAACTTGTTCTAATGCTAATCCTCCTCAAGAACCAACGTAAGTTAATTTGCAGAACAAAATTAAGTTTGTATCGTTTCTCGTCCATTTTTGTTGTCAAATCTTAATACTCGATTGTCTGCAAAATCAAACACGTAATTTCTTATATTCGCAGAAGATGTTGGTGCTCGAATGCAGAACAATGTGACTGTGGTAAAAGGATGGGGGAAGATGCTGGTTTACTTGCCAATTTTGAATCTGCAGAGAGGGTGAATATTAATAAACACTTTTTATCTCTTCTTGTAAGTTTTCTTTTTACATTTTAAATTCGTGATGTGATTTCTTGTGACACAAGCAATAGGCCTCAGTTTCAAAGTTGCACAATTTTCAAACTTGCAAGTTCTTCCAATCTTTTACCCATTGTTTGTATCTTCTCAGACATCTTCGTCCTCGCTGCGAGGATCACAACAAGCTTTAAGACCGGCGATCCTAATTGTTCAAAGGAGCTCACATGATCCGCTTTCAGCAGCCATCGCAAGGAGCATAACAAGTTGCATTGCCAACACTCCAAACCTCAACTTATCTCATACAATACTTAACCAAATTGGAAGAGCTAATACTAATTTTCCAGGTTCACAGAATAATGAGTTCAATTCTGGCACTTGCACCACTTTGATTCTTGGATCCGCTCCTCTTCTTCGCCAGTTTTATCTTTTTCAACGTCTTTTTGGGATGCCTAACAATTTTTTTCGATCTTTATGGCCTCCCCACGTAAGTCGCGTAGATTCTACATTTCTATTAGGTCAGGCTTCTGCGGCTTCTGATGATAACTGGTTCCAAAATGAAACCCGAATTGATCTGTGGAGGCAACTTCTCATGGAGTCGACTCTATACATGCACAGGCCACCCGATAGCTTGTTAGAAGGTCCGACTTCATTTTTTGTTGTAACAGCCAGCCACGGAGTAAACTTCAGTATGGTAAGTCCTGCATAACCATTAGATCAATCTGCTGTGACATGCCTTGTATCATGATCATTTGATTGCTTTCCTCGTAAATACGTACATGAGTAGAACGCTGAAGCTATTTTCCAACGACCTCTCCACTTCTCGATTGAAATGCGCAATCATTCTGGAGCAATGTGGCCCGATGTGGATAACATGTCATATGAGGTATACTCTCACATCGGAACTTCCTTTGTTTCTTAACTATCATGATCGTCAATGGTTTAATTAGTATTGCTGTTGTCATAATCTCTCTTGGCATCTGTAGGAATTATTGGCTTTAGAAGATCGTATAGGGTATGTCAGCACAGGATTATCTGAGGAAGTAGCTGTCAAGTCTCTCAAACGCAGCCATTACTTTGTGTTTACAGAAGAAAATCCTCAGAAAGACTTCTGCAGCATCTGCCAGGAGGATTTTGTAGAAGAGGATGAGCTAGGAACATTGGACTGCGGACACGGCTTCCACATTTCGTGCATTAAGCAATGGCTAGGGTATAAAAATGTGTGTCCTATGTGCAAATCTCCCGGTATAAGTACTACTCTTCCCTCGTTTTCTCACATTCAAAGTCCGTAAACTAATTAAGTCTTATGAAGTTGAAGAATTTGGTGATTTCTCAATTTTACCAGGCTAGTTTAATTTAGTTTCATTTTTATGGTAAATGTACAGATCGTGTATAAAAAACAACGAGAATATAGAAATGTATAATACTCAAAAAAAATCTCTTACGCGCGTATTGGAACTTTATGTACGAAATGTATGTCTATGCAAGATATTATATCAAACAAGATGAATAGAAACAGAATGTTTTACAATTACTATTCTAAGAAGTACAGTAAATCAAACCTGTATCAAAAGTTGGAAGTCAGAGAAAAACAGCTCTAACAAAATCATCCTTGGTTGTAGTAGCAGCTTCTCTCTGACATTGATTTACTGTCGCCACCAAATGATACGGGGAGCAACTCCTCGTGACAGTAAATTAGACTCGCATCAACGCCTTGCCACGTTCTTAATCTACCCTGTATGACATTGGGGGAACACTAAGTTGAGACTTTTGGCTCGTTTTATGATGTTCTCAGTGGATGCTTGTCGATCAAGTCATAAAGTTCGTCCCCAATTCCAAAACCTAGCATCCTAGCCATGTCACTAGTCTTCAATCTAGGCTTCGGAATGTCATGTTCCTTCAACCATGAGTACACAACAAAAACCTTCTGCATTACGAACAACTCGAGTGCCTCAGGGTTGAAGACAACTCCCATTCTCATGTTCATCTGAAAAGATAAGAAATTAAAAGCCAGGCCATTAAGCAAGCCTCTCACTCCCCAACTTTGACACAATGGCATTGTAACAAATTACATTGGCGCTCAAAAATAGTCATCCTGCACTGCTCAGAGCGCTAATAAAAGGTCCCTAGATTATAATACCTGGTGTGGAACCAACATGGCAGCATAACGAGCTAGTTCTCCGGCGCGCCAATCCAAGAGGACGGGCAACCAGGGATAAGCGGCATCAAGTCTCAAAAACCAGAGCCTTATGTCAGGGAATTCGGATAGTTCTCGAGGATCACGTGGATCTTCTCTTGTGTAATTGATGGTAAAGCCGATTGTACGCTCAAGAAACTCTTTTGGCTTGGCTAATTACACCAACAGTAGCAGTAAAACTTCATTAGGGTTTGCATAAAACTTAATCATGAAATTTAACTTTGTTAAACTGATGCTTAATTGACTAATTAATTACCGGATGAAGGAATGGTAATCCCAGTTGCAGTATGAAACGGGGATAAATCAAGACGTCGAATTACGTCATTGTCGATAACTATTTCAAATCGGCCTTCACTTGGCGGCATCGGAGGCTCAACTTTACTAGATGTGTCTGTCAACCACAAATTGTAATATTAGTAAATAGATAGGCGGGTTATAACTGTGACAGTATGACTGTCACATCGAAAAATTACTCGTTTGAAAGAGTAGGTGATTGTTAGCGTCAAACAAAAATTACTAGAAAAAGATGAAGGGATGGAAAGATAACCAGAGAAACCAAATTAAGGAAGGTCATACCTTCTTCTTCATCATATAAAGAGATGTCGAAATTCCCAGATGGGTTGAAGGCAACTGAGACTGCCACCTGTCCCTGCTGCCTATTGGCCTGTGAAATGGCCAAAGAGGCCATGGAATCTGAGATTGGTTTGAGGGGGATCCATGGAGGAGGAGAGGATAATGTGGTCTGTCTTGAAGAACAAACGGGAAGCAGAGTTTGGAAGATTGCAGCCATTGCTGCAGAGTGTGAACTGATATGGTCCCTTGACAGTTAATACAGTTTCTTGTGGCCTTGTGTTTTGAATGCTCATATCCTCTTGTGGGTTTTTATTCCATGCATCTCAGACCTATTGCAAGTTTGCTCCCGATGGATTTCTTGGGTTGGGTCAATTTAAAGTTCATCGACCTGGTTTTTGTTTGTGTTTTTTAGCCCACGATGATGTGCCACCTGAAATTAGAAGCCCATGATGAGATACTATTATTATTATTAGAGGAAATTGTAGCAATGATCATTTAACTTTAACTGAATTAGTGCAATGGTCCCTGAATTAAAAATCAATGAACATTGGTCTTTTAACTCATCAAAACGTGCAGCTATGATTATTTTCGTGAACTCCATCAAAACTTTCGTCAAAATAAGTCAAGTGCAATGTACGTAAGGTTGAATCGAGAGGCAAATATGAAAAATTAAATGAGAAAATTATAGCAATTATTCTTCAACTTTCACTCAAATCATCCCTCCACTTTAGCTCAATTAGAGTAATGGTTGCTCAACTTTAACCTAATTTTACAATGGTCATTCCACCATAACTCAGTTTGAAGGAAGTTCTGACGAAATTAACGAAAATTATCATAGTGGCACCTTTTGATGAGTTAAAAGACCAATAGACACATATTTTTACTTGAAGGACCAACGCTTCAATTGAGTTAAAATTGAAAAACCGTTGCTATAATTTTCTCTTATTATTATTATTTGTCAATAGGTAACGGGTTCGGAGGGGGAGGGGAAAAATTGGGTGGGGGAGCCTCGAACTAAAATTTATGGAGGCAATAACTATATGGAAGGTCAAGAAATTTACACAACTGCATGGAGCCACATGGAGTTTGGTTGGTAAAATGTGATGAAATGTAAACGAATATTTCAACCCGTCATTCTCATACGACTTTAAAAATTTAAACCCTAAACGTTACATGAGTTGTGAGACTGCATGCATATGATTCGAGCTTTGCCTTCTTCCCGCCACATGGAACAATGCAAATTATCAATCCATCCATATGAAAACAACAACTGAGATATTGCTTTTCAGTTTGGTTTTGTCAATATAAACTATATATTAAAATAAATATATTTTCTTCAATTTCATCTTAATTTTAAAATATTTATTAAATAAAGGGATTTAATCCTTTGAACAATATAGTTGGCCTGTCACATTGTATATTAATTTTTGGTGTTGTGGTGTGCTGCCACATAAGGTTGAGAATTAGGATACAAATTCCATTGCTAGATGATTTCAAAGGAAGACGTGTAGAGATATGAACATGATGTAATGTGTTTCCAACACCTCACCCTCATAAATCTTTGTATTACTATGCATGCCATTTACACACATAACAAACTATTTTCTTTGCACATAAATTGTTTAAAACAACTCTTCAAATTACTCCATGGTCCATACTATCCAACTTTTTGCTTCCAAGCTACTCCTATTGATCATGATCATAATGATATATACATACGTAATCTAGGTCAACTGGTTAAAATAATGTGTCTGATGCAAACGTGAGTTAAGTTAGTTAGTTAAGACAATGTGTACGATGCTTTATACTTAAATTTAATTATTCTTTTTAGTAAATTAGAATAAACGTGTATTATGAATAATTTTGGCCTTCACCCAATTCGACCACTACTCGTTATGGATTCGATGACAAAACAGGTAATTATACAAGTCTGTCATTTCTTCACCACAATTCATTCATCTTGAATGTTTGCCTATTTCTTGTTTGTTTTTTAAATTTTATAATATATCATACAATCCACATTCCAATCGCGTTTTCGAATTATATTTCTTCGTCTTTTATTTTTATAATTTTTGATGAACTTATGTCTATATTTTTTTTTTTGAACCGTTTTCAATTCTAATTATCAATTGTTTGTGATGATCCACATTCAAGTTTAATAGCAATTATACCCTCTCCATGTGCTAGAAAGGACCATTTATAAGGTATAATTAGAATCCCCTACAACTTTTTAACAATTTTTAGATCAAACATTTGTTTCTTTTTAAGATTTGATTAAGATGCTTTAACCAACAACCACGTCAGCATTTGTTGTTTATTTAAATTATATATCTTTTTAAGCTAAAACTCTAATTATCGGTTTCCAAATATGTCATTTTAAGAGTTTTTTTCTTTATTTTTTTTATGTGGCCTCTTTTGTTTGCTACCGAACTTTTAAAATTCATCACAAGGTAACTCAGCAGTTGGAGACGAATTTTAGGCCATATTCACACGGCATGTCCTGAGTTTGATTCCTAACGCTGGTAAATGACACGATAGTGGTCAAATGGGGCTAAAATGTCTCTGTAAGTCTTTCCGAACCCCAAAATAATGAATTGCCATGACAAAAACAGTAAATGATTCTATTTTTAAAAATATAAAAAAATGTCACTTAGTATTACGGTCTAATAATATTTCTTTTCATTTATAAGTGAGATGTTTTAGATTCGATTATCACTAAAAGTGAATTTAAATCACATTATTGCTAGTCTATTGTGAGGCTAAATTCACCTCTCATTTTTAATGTAAATAATATCGTATGTTTTAAAAGAAAGAAAAAAAATATATATATATAAAATAGAACTTCTAGAACTTCAATAAGGCAAACACACCTGTCATGCTCCATTTCATTACCCTTTTTGTCCATTTTCTTCTTCTCTATTCAATCTATCACGACTGTTGTTTTATCAAACAAATTGGTCACCAACTTCAGCAGTAATTGACTAGATATTTTCTGCTACAATCAATCATACAGTTACCAAAAACACATATTATAAATTTATAATTGGAATATTAAGAAAATGAAAAAAAAAACAAACAAAATGTTCGAAAAGAAAAGCAGATCCTTATTCCTGATTACCTTATTGGTTTTTACATAAAGTTTATCTTTTGTTTTTTAAAAAAAAAAAAAAGGAGTCGCCAGTTGTTGTGACTCACAACTTGTGAGCCTTGTGACTTGTAAATCAAGATTTGCAAATAATATTGTTTAATTGTCGAATTTCACATTTAAAACCTTGGAAAAATTAATTTTATTATACTTTTTCTTGGTACTTTACAACCATTTAAACATTTCAAATACATGTTATTTGCAACGTTTTATTCCCACTAAAGGAAGCAAACTAAAATAATTCTAAAAAATATTCTTGGCATATTTTCAGCTATACACTTGTATTCTTCACTAAATCTCACTTTAGCCCCTATATTTTATATTGACTCGTTTTAATACTTGCCCTCTTCCTCATTCTCACTTTTCGCTATTTTGTCAAATAAGTTAAAAAGAGCAATTAAGTGTATTAACGTGGCATAGACAATTGAGTCATTTCAACTATGTTAGTAAGACGCATGAGTGCATGACTATGGTTAAATTTAAAACTTGGTTTGATTTATCCAAATTAAGAAAGAAAAAAAGAAGAAGATGAGAGCGATAGATGTAAAGTTATGGAACCCTAAAAATATTTGCAAAAAGATTTGAAAACATTGAAATTGATTTGCGTAAAATTATACGTTCTCTTCTTATATTTCAATCTTCTCTTGTTATATTTTCTTTTTATCTAGAGAAATTAAACCACGGTTTGAGTTTAACTCACCTCCCACTAACATGCCAACAACCAACAAAATTGAAAAGACTAAATTGTTCAACCACTTTAGTACAATTAACAGATTTCTTAACTTATTTGATGGAAGATGGTGAAGTAAGATATTGAGAAAAAGTACAAATGTTAAAATGAAACAATATAGAGTGCAGGGTAAAACTAAACACGAAGGAAAAGTTTAAATGAGAATATATAAAGTGTAGGTGTAAAATGAGATTTGGTTAAGAAATGTGTCATAGTTAAGTTAAAAATACGTCAATATTCTTTCTACACAAGAAATAATTAAAATCTAAAAGAGAAAAAGGGAAAAATATAAAAATATAAAAAGGACAATTTCGTCATGACAAAAAGGGCATTTTCGTCATGACAAAAATGAGATTTGGGAGTCAGTGCCCGTTGCTTTCCAAACCTTGAAAAATCGGAGGGACCCAAATGATCTCCCTCTCTCTCTCTCCGTCCGCCGCTGTGTCTTTCATTCTTTCACTTCAGTTAAGCAAACGGATATAACCAGCATACGCGGCTTTGCTCTGCTTCTAATTTCCGAAACTTTTCTTTCTACCCTTCTGGACATTTTCTTCCTCTGCGTCCCAAAAACTCAAAAACCCAATAAAAAATGCCACGTTTTAGATCAAACCCACCTAAAAGTTTGCTCATTTTTCTCACTTTTGGCCTCGTCGTTGCTTTCACTTCAGCAAGCTCTCACATTTCCCACACAGGTACGATGGGGTTTTGAAAACAGGTATTTTATTTTTTATTTTTTATTTTTTATTTTTTATTTTTTATTTTTTGGTTCTGTGAGAAAATGGGTCTTTGAATATTGAATTTTAGGGTTGTTTTTGTGATTTTTTCAGGTGGTGGGAGAAGGGATGGTGATGCTAGTGGGTCGGTCGTATGGGAAACAAGGAGGTCGCTTGCAGACGGAACTGCCCAGAACTCGTCTTTGCTGTTGGCTGAGGACAGGACGCGCAGGAAGGACCCGCTTGATAGTTTTAAGAAGTACAACGGTGGGTGGAATATCACCAATAAGCATTACTGGGCTGTGAGTCCTCTCAACCCTTTTGATTAATTTTCATACTTTTGCCTTTTTTGTGATTTGTTTTTTTGCTTTCTTCTGAATTGGTGAATTATGGTATAATCCTGTTGTTTTTGGGCTGTTTTGCTGCTATGATGGATGGATAAGTTAAAACTAAATGTTCCGTAAGAACTAAATTGGATAAAAGACTTGGAGTTGCCAAGCAAATGTCATTTTTATATCTGCTGGGGTGTAAATTTCGTGAGCTGAAAGTCCTCGGCTGCACCCGAGTTCATATTCCCCGCGTTTAGAATTAAATGAAGAACAGAACCCCTCTTTGCACCCAACGATGAATTCTAGCATATTTTTCTTTGAACTAGTACAATCAATTTATTTATTTATTTATTTTTTTGATGTTTTACTTACATTGTGGTTTGGTTTAAAACCAATTTGGCATCAAATTGTCTTTCCGTAGATTTTGATGCATTCAAAGAAAGACCACTTTTTTCTACTTAAAAAAAGGCAGGCCTTGAACTCTGTCAAGATGTTGTACACTAATAAATTATTTTGTTGTCTTTGGTGGTATCATGCCTTTATGCAGGCCTTGAACTCTTCCAAAAATGTTATCCGTGGATTAATTATCGTATCTTGTATTTTCATTGTTTCGCAGACCTGTTTTTATCTCAATGAATATTGTAACATTGGTTATTAATTTTTATGTAGTCTGTTAGTTTCACTGCGGCTCCCTTCTTTGTCGTTGCTGCTGTCTGGTTTGTGATTTTCGGGCTAAGCTTGTTCATTATCTGTCTCCGTTACTGCTGTTGTCCAAGAGAGCCTTATGGCTATTCTAGAACATGCTATGCTCTGTCGCTCATCTTACTTATTTTGTTCACCCTTGCGGTAATGTGAGTCTCTCTCTCTCTCTCTCTCACTCTCTCCACACTAACTTGCATTTGATACCAATGGACAAGTACAGCCTCTATATATCTTCTGTGACCTGACATCCTTAGATGTTTTTCCTGGTCCATTCTAGTGTTGGATGCATTGTTCTGTACACTGGTCAGGAAAAGTTCCACACAAGCACATCGAAGACGCTGCATTATGTTATGAGTCAGGCGGATACTACTGTTGAAAGCCTCAGAAATTTGTCAGGTTATCTTGGTGCAGCTAAGCGGATTGGGGTTGATTCTGTATTTCTCCCTTCAGATGTTCAGAGTAAAATTGACAATATTATAACAAAGATCGACTCTGCTTCCAGCACACTTGATGATAAAAGTGAAAAGAACTCAAAGCGTATACAACATGCCTTGGATAGCGTGTAAGTAGATTCTAGAAGCTCTGGAACTTGTGCTCACGAATCTGTGTATAATGTTCGTCTCTTGTTATACTTTGCTTGCAGGAGACTGGCTCTCATTATTCTTGCTGCTTTTATGCTCTTTTTGGCCTTGCTCGGATTTTGTAAGTCTTCTTGTTTTACAATTAGAGGCAGGGATTATGAATATTTGACTACTATTCTTATTTCTTTTTCTTTTACTGCTTGCAGTATTTTCCGTTCTTGGGATGCAAGCCCTTGTATACTCGTAAGTGAAATATAAGTTGAACTGTTTCCTTTTAATTTTTTAATAGAGATCTTCAAATTTTGGAAGCATTTGTGTCCTAGTCCTCAAACATATGTTCACATAAACTTATCTCTTTCATGCAGCTTGGTGATTGTTGGGTGGGTACTTGTTGCGGGCACATTCATATTATGTGGTGTCTTTCTCGTTCTCCATAAGTAAGTACTAATTGGCTATGATCACGTCATATTACTTTCTAACTCACACCCATGTTGGTTTTACGGGTTACATCTTAGTTATCTCATAAGAACAAATTCATGATATGAGCGTTATTCAGTCTGGCTTATGACTGCTCTGCTGTGTTGCTTTCTTGTCTGTTTTCAGTTCCTCTAACTTCTCGTCCTATGTGTTTAGTGTGGTTGCAGATTCATGTGTTTCCATGGATGAGTGGGTCCAGAATCCCACATCTCACACTGCATTAGATGATATCCTCCCATGTGTGGACAACGCTACTGCCCAAGAAACCGCGACACGCACCAAGGATGTAACCCGCCAACTTGTTACCGTGGTTAACCGTGTCATCAACAATGTCTCAAATGTTAATTACCCACCTAGCGCTGGACCATTATATTTTAATCAGTCTGGCCCACTATTACCTCTTCTTTGCAACCCTTTCAATTCCGATCTCTCTGATCGACCGTGTGCACCTGGTGAAGTGGAACTGGAGAATGCCACCCAGGTAAGATAAATGAAGCATCCAAGCTGACCTAGACCTTACCTTGCCTGCATCTATGTGTTAGTTCAGTAATAAGTACTAAGATTCACATTTCTGTCTCAAGCAGATATGGAAGCGTTATGTCTGCGAGGTTTCTGCCACTGGTATCTGTACGACAGTTGGCCGATTGACTCCGATCTTCTATAGCCAAATGGAAGCTGCTAGAAATGTGAGTTACGGTCTGTATCGATATGGTCCATTCTTGGTTGATCTGCAAAACTGCAAATTTGTTAGGGATGCATTTACCGACATACATCAACATAATTGTCCTGGTCTGCGAAAACATAGTGGCTGGATCTACATTGGGTTAGTAATGGTATCTGCAGCTGTGATGTTGTCGTTGGTCTTCTGGGTGATCTATGCAAGGGAGCGAAGGCATCGAGTGTACACTAAAAAGTTTGCACCTGCTAGAACAACTGGGGAATTCGAAGACAAGGGTGCTTAAAACGTTTTTCCATATAAAAACATGGACGTAGTTGGGTAAAAATATGTTTTCGTCCACTTACATCCGAGTGATTTTACCCTTGAGTTCTTTTGTACATTATGGTGGTTAATCTTTAGGTTTTATATTCATTACTCATTTGTGCTTCCACAGAAACTCCATTGGAGATAGTAATATTCTGGAGCTATCATTCTATTACATTTTATATGTCCAATAAACAATGCCCTTTACAATCTACATATAGCAAACCGCTTATACTAACCTCTTTGCATGCTCGTTTTTTCAGTCATGCTCGCACAACACATAATTTTATCAATCTCTCTCTCTCTCCCTCTCTCTCTCCGTGTTGCGATTAAACTCAGCGAGTAGTGGGAGTAGTGATAGGTGAAGTAAAAAAGAGCAGTTAAGAAATATTAGGATTGTTGAAGGGATCTTTTCATAGTAAATGGATAAGTCGTTCCAGTAAAACTGTAAAAAAAGCATCTTCATTGATTGCTATCTAGGTTCCTTTAAATTTTACTTCAACTGAACGGTTCTATTTTCTCCTTCCATTTCTCTGTTTTCTCTGAGTGGTAAAACATGATACGCTTCACATAAAAAAGTTGCTTCCTTTTCTCCCTTTTTCTCTTCGTTTCTGTCGGTTTCGGAAACTCCCACACTTAGCAAACAGTAAGTGCTATATCAGAGCTGCTTTAGTTTCCTTTTTCGTTGTCGAAAATGCTTCCCTTTGTGTTATAATTTGATATTTTATGTGTTTGCTTCTCGGTTCGTGTTCGTGTTGGCATTGACATTGTATGGGAGGGTGATGATCAGAGAGAGCACTTTGAGCATGGTGAGGTGGTGGTGGCTTGGGGCAAAAGGAGGTCTCTTGCAGAAGAAAAACCTCCCTGAAACGCACCTCTGACGATATTGGCTAGGGACAGGACACGCGGAAAGACCCTCGTGAATGTGTCACATAATCTCGGTGCAGCTAAGCGGATTGGAGTTGACGCTGTGTTTCTGCCGGCAGATGTTCGGAAAAAAATTGACAATATCGAAACAAAAATTGACGCTTCTGTCGCTACACTTTCTGATGGGACAAAAGGAATTCGAAGACTATAAAAGATGGTTTGTGTTGATGCACAAAATCAGTGCGGATTTTGGTACAACAGAAAATGTTAAGTTTGTGACCTTCGCTAGATTGCTCCGGTCACTAGTATGGATAAGTATGTAAATAGATAGAGACAGGGAAGCAAACACAAGATGTACGTGGTTCACCCAGATTGGCTACGTCTACGGAGTAGAGGAGTTCTCATTAATTGTGAAGGGTTTACACAAGTAAATAGGTTCAAGCTCTCCTTTTGTGAGTACTAGTGAATGATTTAGTACAAATGACATTAGAAAATATTGTGGAAGAATGATCTCCTTTTATAGAAAAGAGTATCTAGTTTTGTTTTGACATTGACACGTGTCATGTTGTGATTGGCTTTTGATGTTGACACATGTCGCGCTATGATTGGATTCTGATGTCGACACGTGTCGCGCTGTGATTGGCCTCCTGGTTGGAGGGAAACTCTTATGGGTCCTTGACGGTATAACGTTGACCGGTACTCAGTAGTTTCGGGATTGGTCAAGTATGGTACAAACAGTGCTCCCCTAAGTTCCCGAGTGAGGGAAGCTCCTCGGTTGGGGACTTGCAAGATCCAAGCCACTGAGTAATAACGAAACTTCTAAGTACCGAAGTGTGGTATCGTTTTCATTTGCCTTATATGTCTCATAGGTAGATGTGGCATCTTCTCTGGAAGTATTTTTCCTCCATCCAGCGGTGGTATCTTTAACTAGTGGAGATGCACAAGGTAATGTATCAATTTGACTTGAAGCTTACTTGTAGTTTCAAGCTTGGTCAAGCGCAATACAAATCATGTAGTAGGAGTCACCCAAGTCGCCTAGCTAGGAGATTTGTCGAAAGAGATGACATACAAGGTAAGCAATTAGAGTTATAAGTAATCAGTCCCAGATCAAAAGTTTGATTTTGAGTTCCGGCTGATTGTTCTCATTCTCCATATCTTGCATGCAGCAAGAAGGATAAAAAGAAGAAAAATGAGAAGAGATGATATGAGATACTTTTGCTTTTGAAGAAGTAACTTTCCACAGGCTTATTCTTGAACTGGGCTAGAGGGTTTTCTGGTTTCCTCTAGAGTATAAGGCCGACTCAAGAATTTAAGGGTCAAAACAAGCCCATCAAATCTATAGTACGTTCGACCTTGATGATATGAGATACTTTTGCTGTTGACAAAATAGTAGATGTATCGGCACGTGTTCTGTTACGCTTGTCTCCAGATGCTTCCTTATATCCTTCTCACTTGCTTTATCTGTTCATCATGCAGATGTGGTATCTTTTCTGGAAGCATAAGATGTTGAAGATAAGTACTCGAGAGTAATGCCAGGTAAGTAATCAGGCAAGGGGTTCCAGGCAGTCAGTTCCTGACTGGAAGCTTGATTCCAAGTGCTGACTGATTGCTCTTTTTCTCCTTGTCTTGCAGATAAGAACAAGGCCAAAGGAAAATACAGGAAAAAAACATTATATGGTATACTCTTGCTTTTAACCCTGATGATATGATATACTATTGCTCTGGTGTGGCTTGTTTGCAGAGGTATTATCGGGGGGAAAAGAAGCTGAGTATTTTGAGAGACTCTGCTGAGAATGCCCTCTCGGATGTGAAGAAAAGTTGAGCATTTTTTTTATTTGCAGGTCTGCCTAGCTGTGGATGATGAATGTCGACATATATAGGAATTGTCCCAACAGCGAGTGGTAACGTTGTTCCTTTACCCTTCTCGGTCATAGCAATGTAGTGGAAGCTACAAGATTCAGGTGTTTTAACTTTGTTATAACACTTTGAAAAAGTGGTCTGTGGTATCTGGAAAGCTAATGTTACGTGTGAAGATTGCAAACAAGTTTTATCCAAGGAAATCTGGCTTTTGAAGTTTGGAGAGCGGTGCATCTTCGTTTTTCGAACAAGCAATCCTGTCGGGGATCTGGCTTTCGAGATTCAAAGAACGGTGCCTCTTTGATTTTTGAGAAAGCAATCCTATTGGGAGTCTGACTCTTGAGATTCGGAGAGTGGTGCCTCTTCGATTTTTGAGCAAGTAATCATGTTGGGAGTCTAACGCTCGAGATTCGGAGAGCGGTGCCTCTTCGATTTTTGAGTAAGCAATCTTGTTGGGAGTCTGGCTCTCAAGATTTGGAGAGCGGTGCCTCTTCGATTTTTGAGTAAGCAATCTTGTTGGGAATGTTTTCTTGAATGTGAGTAAATGTTAGGCATTTTTGCCAGTCTGCCTTGCCACGGAGCATGGAGGTTGACACACATAGGGACTTTCCAGTTATCAAGTAACGGTGCTGTTCCTTTACCCTTATGGGTAATAGTAGGGTAGCTGGACCTTCAAAATTTACGTGTCTAAACTTTGTCAGAGATCTTTGGCAAAGTTATTTGTGGTACCCGATGAGCTGATGTTGCGTGTGGGGATTGTTGACATATTTTACTCAGGAAAATCTGCTTCTCAAAATCCAGAGAGTGGTGCCTCTTCGATTTTTGAACCAACGGCCCTGTTGCCCTTTCTTTATAAGGGCACCAATTATGTGCAAGAAGTACGTTCATAGAGTTATTGCTTATAGGAATTTTCTCCTTATTTTTGCACTTCAGAGATTTATTGCACCTCATTTCTCCTTCATCATTTATAAGAATGTTTGGCCCATCCGATCGTCGTTTTGACTTGAACTTTGGTGAAGAGGCAGCCATGCCTTCTCAAGACAACATATAGCGCCCATCGTTCTTATCCTTTACTGGTCCTCTTACCGTTGGGGACTTTGTGATGAAGAATGATATGACCGCTGCGGTGGTGGCCAGGAACCTTCTCACTACCAAAGATAACAGACTACTTTCCAAATGGTCTGATGAGTTGGCTGTTAAGGATTCTCTGGCTCTCAGTGTTCAGTGTGCAGCTTCTGTGTCTAATATGGCCAAACGCCTATTTGCTCGAACCCGCCAAGTTGAATCATTGACGGCTGAAGTGATAAGTCTCAAACAGGAGATCAGAGGGCTCAAGTATGAGAATAAACAGTTGCATAAAGAGGAAGCTCGACCAGCTGCAGGAATCTGATAGTCAGATTTTACTTGATCATCAGAGGTTTGTGGGTTTGTTCCAAAGACATTTATTGCCTTCTTCTTCTGGGGTTGTACCGCGTAATGAAGCTCCAAATGATCAACCTCAGGTGCCTCCTCATTTTGGGGTTCTACCCAATACTGAGGCTCCAAATGATCACCCTTCGGTGCCTTCTATTTCTAGGGCTTTGTCGACTGCTGAGACTTCTCCTGAGCAACCTTTGTGAAGGCTCCCTCTTGTTTGTTTATTTTGATTCATGTATATGTACATATTTGTAATTTATCAGAGATATCAATAAATGAGCTTTGCTTCATTTCAACGTATTGTGTTAAATACACCAAAGTCTTCTTCACTAAGTTCTTTGAATTTTTTCTTTTGTCGAAGCTTGTATGTTAGCTTTGTGAGTGAAACATGTAGGTTGAGGTAGTGTTCCCTTAATTTCCCGAGTGAGGAAAACTTCTCGGTTGGAGACTTGAAAAAATCCAAGTCACTAGGTGGTCGTCAGACTTCCGAGTATCAAGGTGTAGTAGCATATGGTAGGAGTCCCCCAAGTCTCTGGTCGAGAGAGTTGACGAATGAGACATTTCCTTTCTAATTGGTAGCCCAAAACTCCTTCTTTATATTGTTAGGCCCAAAAAAGATGGAGCCTAGGCAATTTTTTTTTATTTTATTTTTCGAATCCAAAATTTTGAATTTTTGAATTTCCGAAAATATATATATTTAAGTTTTGTAGGTGAAGCTTTGACGTTGAAGCTTTGTTAGGTACCATGAATTGATTTTGCTTCACACTATCTTAATCAAGATAGTGTGAAGCTTTTGTGGTGGGTGAAGCTTTTGTTGACTAAGCTTTTGTAGGTGAAACTTTTGTGGTGGGTGAAGTTTTTGTGGGTGAAGCTTTTATGGGTGAAACTATTGTAGGTGAAGATTTTGTGTTGAAGCTTTGTAGGTGAAACTTTGAAGTTGAAGCTTTGTAGGTGAAGCTTTTGTGTTGAAACTTTTGTAGGTGAAGCTTTGAAGTTGAAGCTTTTATTGGGTACCATGAATTGATTTTGCTTCACACTATTTTGATTAAGATAGTGTGAAGCTTTTGAGAATTTGT